TGAATGTCCTCCATATTTCCAAAAGACACTTGATAAGTGTTTTCTAATCCACACAAAAATATTAAGAGAGGAGAAACGTCACAAGAAATAGTAAATTCGAAGTTTCTGGACTGTTACGATGAATATCTGAATACGAGCATGAGTCTACTTTTTTTGAGGAGCGGATGGGTTTGGAGCGCATGCAAAATCCTCATCACCGAGCTCGACAAATGAATAGCCTTGCTAGAAAGATTGCTATGGACGTCAAGCAGCGCACTTTCATGCATCAAGACGTATGGCGTACTGTTGAACGCATAGTACTCGGCTCAGATAATATGGAGACGGTAAGTACTCTATCATTCATACTAATAACTTACGTTGTAACTACAGTCGCGTAGTGTAGGTAGGTGAAAGTGGTAACGCGGAAGAGGGACGGGGGTCCCGTAATAGCGCAATGATTTTTGGGTGGATAACTGCAGTTGGATGGCTGCTGATTCGCTTTACATAGGTAACATGCTCAGATTTCAGCAGTTCGATCGCCTCAAGACCGTACTGTTTCCAAATCATGCGGACGTGTTGGTCTTACTCTCATTGCTAGCAGATGAGGCGGTGTTGCCGCCGGAACTACTCACAAGTCCTCTTCGTCGAGCGTATCACGGGGCTGTTCAGATGTTGTTAGCCATTGAAGTGAGTTCATCCATGCTATCGTTTCCTTTTCTCTTTTCTGAAACTAGAAAGGATTCTCAATAACTAGGTGCCTAAATACTTTCCTCACGGTTTTCTTTTCTGTTTTATCTACCATTTATCCCGCTGGAAGTGAATGAAGCCGCTTTTTTGAGTAAATATGACATTCTAACCCTCATTCACAGAAAAAATAAATATGTGTCGTACCTGTTCCTTGAAGGTGGGCAACAAATGAGTTGGGACCTTGTGGTTTGAATCGGCTACCGTTGTTATTCGTGGTGGAACGGCCTACGCGACTGAGAATCTGAGGTGTCTTGCTGTCGCGAATGCCTTCTGATCTGTTCTCTCTCCTTCGCGCTTTCTTATGGTTATCGTCTTTATCGAGGTCATGCTCTCAAAAAGGCCATTGTGGAGAAGAACTCGGAATAACCAGGTTTTTGTCTGATTGGATCCATCAGTACCATCTTTCAGATGATGACGGGGGGATCTTCAAAATGACTTTTGGGTTAAATCGCATAAGCGACCAGAATTCGGTGTTCTGCTGAGAGACCGTCTTCCTAACAGTTTCACAAACGAATGCTGGGTTGTGAACAAAACTTTGGCCCCGGGACTCGAACCCGCACCCCTCGTTTTCCGTTTTCCGAACAGCAGTTAACAAACACAAACAAGTCTTTCTAACAATATATGCATTGGAGAAGCCTGTTCTAGAATTCTGTAACGGTTTTCGTAGTTATGTCTGCAAACAAATTCCACATATTTCCAAAGAAAATTGTATCAGAATCAACGTCGAGGTTTACCCCGAAATCTCCGTAACGTACCATTTCCCATAATTGTATCGAGCTTGTGCGGAACGAGTAACTAGAGTTGGATGCCGTTGTATACAACTGAATCCACTCTGCAGTTCGTGGTTGCCGTTTTTGGCTTAGCGGCCGATGGCGATACCCGGCCATATAACTCCCCCCATTTGAGCAGCCTGATTCTCCAACCTAGGGGTTCTCATAAGCAAACATTATCTCAGAGCACTCCAGTACATACTTTATTGTACATTTCAGGCGTACTGTCATGGCACTCGTTCTCGCAGTTCGAATACACGAAGTCTCTTAAAAACTATTGGCCAGAGGGTGAGCTGATCGCACTTTATTCACCCTTTGACGCCAGTGGTAAATGTAATGTTCCGCGTCTACGAAATGCGCGTCCTGCTGCTGGAGTGCTCATACATAAGAAAAAAAAAACCAGGAAAATCTGCTAGATCACAATACAGAAACTGTTGGGACTGTTTGCCTCAAGTGTTTTTGTGAGCGTCTGCCTTTGAGGTAAACAGAACATCAGACGGCCGTGGGTTTCGGGAACAAATACGAGAAACCTCAAATTTTTCCAGAATTAACTAAATATTCATTTCATTTTCATTATTCATTTCCTTGCGTATTGTCTGAAGAGATCATACTGCACTGCACTCACTGCAAAGGCTGTGCAAAACAAAACAAGAAAAAAAATTGAATAACTGCTTTTTGTAGATTACATCTCCCCCCCCCGTTCGTATTCCAGCGTCAATTACTCTTTTGTTTGTTGGATTTGTACTTGGAATGTGGAGTTTTATGTTTTTAGGACAAACATTAAACGAGTCTGAGTTCTGCGATCGTCTTGCCGACTTGCTTGGTAATGAGCGGCCGTTGTGGAACTACATTCGTCAGTGGCTTCCCTTGGCATATGATGAAAAGTTTGTCAAAACCATAGTTTTTCATACTTCAATGAGCAGTTTGGCATTTTGAAGGGTAACTCCGGCAGATTTCGAGTTCATTGATCTTTGTAAACGTTCGGATTCGGATGTGCTTGAAGACCGTTGTGCGGAATGCATTGATGATCTGAATGCAGTTCTTGGAACACTTCCTCCGAAGAGAGGTGGACCTCTACAGGTATCTTACTATTTCTTTCCATTTGAGTGCAAAATGGTGTTCCAATCGGCAACTCCAGCGATGGATATGGAATAGCTGCTTCTGCATCAAAAGGCAGCCGAATCGCGATGGCGATAGATGGTGTGTCATCGTGGTTGCGTGAAGGAGGGTCAAGGACAATCCCACTCACGCCCCAGCGCTGTGGGGTTTTAACCACCAGTGACGTTTGGTGACGTCATCAAGTAGCATCGGCCTCCAGCAATGGTGATCATTGCCTTTAAAAGCACAATAGATGGTGTGTGTGTTGCTCCGATGACAATGCTGGATTGTCGTTCCCATACACCAGTGCGAAGTTTTCTTTGAAATCGGTGTTTTGAGTATCTAGAGTTCAGTGAAATACATAAATCCTCACGAAATTCACGTAGCCTTATTTAGGTAACTGGTGGCCAGTTGAACTCCCTTCAGAATGGTGTATATGTTCCTATAGTAATTTCTAAGGAGAAGGCTATAAAAGAAATCCCAGCAGCTGTCGAGAAAGAAGTCCGCGTGAGTACCATTTTTAGAATTATATCGCTTTCCATTTCAAATTGTGAATGTGGATTTTTAAAGCTGCCTCGGGCGAATTTTAAAGAAACTTGTAAAACAACTAATTCAAGTAGAAGTAGAGTCAATTTCTCTGAATCCATCTCGGCAGTTTTCATCATATTACTGAGTTTTTTTTTTGTAGGAGCCGTCTTGGACTAAAGAAACCGATATGATGATCCTGAAGACTTACAATGACGTGGAAGGAGGTGTCGAGGATGTAGTGAAGGAATTGGTGAGAATGATACCGTACTCCTCCGCAGATATAGAAAAAAGGCTGAATTTCTTGATTTCTCTATTTTAAAATGTCATTGCAAGGTGCAGCAACAGTTCACTTACAATTGTTATAGATAGGATGGTTAATTGTTCAGTGACATTTTCTTAGGTAAAACGTCTATACCATACCTTATGCTTTATATCATTCACGTGTATTCAACAAACATTAGCGGCAAGTTATTTGCATTTTCTGTTGATCTCATTACTCAGATTTCCGGTTGCGTCCTTAGCGATGTCTTATAACTCTTATTTGATCTCTTTACTGTTGTAAAATCATTGGCGTGGTTTGAACATGCTGTTAGACCCCACTAGGCCGTTAGAGAACGACAGCCGGAGATGTCACGATGATCTGGGAGGATCTTGACGAATGATCCAAATGATCTCTTTGATCTTTACTTTTAAAACCTTAAATGCTTTGGATATGCTGTCCAATCCAAGTAATCCCTTAGTAGCTCAGAGACAATAGCCATAAATGGGCTAGCGAGGGCCAGATCATTTTGAGGAATAAATCTGCGCATGCGCTTTGTAAATAGTTGTATAGTTTACCTTCTGTTTTTAATTTTGGCCTACAGAATTTACCCACCTGCCGCTCAAACTGTTTACTATAGACAGGGTGAAATGCGTCATTGTCCTGTTGGATATCGAAAGTGTTGTAGTTGACGTTTCCAAGGTTTTCATGAATCAAAATCACCTACGTCTACCATATTCCTTATGTAATTGTCTTTCATTGACGGCCTCATTTTGGATAACTGCCTTTTTTGCTCTTAAAAGAGAGTTCTTCCAAACGCCCAGCTTCCTCGAAATCGGTTTTCGTATGGGTAAGTGAAACACAGAACTGTAGTTCATTTTTCCTGAGCGGCCCTCCGAATACTAAAAAAGGAGATGAAAAGGTTCAAAACCTCGCAGCGACAATTTTTTGCATTTTGTGTTGGCGTTTCAAAATTCTTGAAAATAGCGTCAGCGGAAACAGCAAATGTCATATCTATAATTAGGACCATCAGCAACCTTTATACGTAGACTTTGGCTAAAAAAAAAACTGGTGAAGAAAGTTAAGAACGGCAGTTCCTTAAGAAATTTTTCTTCGCTCCTTTTTTGGTATTCAGAGGGTCGCTCAGGAAAAATGAACCACAGTTCTGTGTTCCATGCACGTACCTCTATATCATGCAAAAAACCGTTTCGAGAAAGCTGGGCATTTCCTGAAAGACCTCCCTTCTTCTGTTACTTCTGTTACTTCGAAGATAATTTATCTACGAAAATTTTAATGAATTTCACCTGTGAATTGCACATTGACTGGATAGTAAGCATTAAATTCTTCTGGCAAGAACATCACTTGAAATGAATCTATCGCTTGATTTTGATTTTTGTTGCATCTAGTTACACCAATAATTGTTGTACATATAACTCGGATATTTTTATTAATAAATCTACACGAGTTGTTATGTGCAGAGCTTACTTCAACGAAGACTCGATTGGTGTTGTTTCGTTTCGATGATCACTCTGGAGATATTCTGTAATCAGGAGTACCGCTTGACAAATACTGTACCATAGCGTGATAGCGCTGCCAGGTTGAGGTTATGCATGTTGTAGCTTCTGAAATAATTCCCAAAGATTATAGTGCTCAATTTCTACGAGTACCTGACAGGAGGCCCGTCGTGCGGCAAGAAGGCAAAGTCAGCGGACGAATCGCAGCGCGTGATATGCGACATATTAGCCAATGTCAGACTTTGCGAATCATCGCGTACAGCGCATCGAGCCAACCGCTCTAGGCAATGCGCCCGCGGACGCTAGCGCATCGCTCGATTCGCAAAGTCTGACATCGGCCTTAGTAACAATAGTAAATCCTATAATAGCACAACCGCAGAGGTCGTGGAAAGCTCTTCTTTTCGGGTCAAAAAGATAATATGAACCCTAGGGACAATCACAAATGTGGCGTTCACGTGCACGGAATTCGACCGACAAGAACGCTTTGGGCTTGCAAAGTAAGCTGCTCGAGCTGCAGCGAACGAGCTCTCTTATCAGGCCGTTGTCTGGTGCTCTCTCATCTGATGCGCTCTCTCGCCCCATACTCTCCTCTTCGCGCTTAGTCTCTCGTTCCTTTAGCACAGCCAATTAGGAAGGTGAGTGAGCCCTCAACCTGAGCGTTTTCGACGGATTCTTTTCCTTTTTTCTTCACTGCCGGCCCACTTGGCACCGATACATTCATTCGTGTGCAAGAGCCACACCAGTGCGATCCTGGGGCATGCCTTTAACTTGACGTAAAAGCACTTATAGTACACGCTGCGACTCGTCCACTGACTCTGCCTTCTTCGCCGCGTGACGGGTCTCCTGTCGGGTACCCAATTTTTACATTGCTGAATTACTGGTGATGTTCGTACGATTTGTGACCCATCCGTTACGAAAGGCTTCTAATGAGGAACCTTTTCGGTCACGGTTTTCGTATATGTTGGGTTGGAGCATAATATCATAGCGCTCACATTCGGCACATACGTTTGAAACAAACAAACAAAACTAATTAGTGATATTTTCTTTGCCATGTTTACAATTTCGATTCCATTCCGCAATTTTTTAATTCCAAATCGTATTCGTAATGAAAAAAAGAAGATGTTGAGCGCTTTTCGGAAGTCCTCATTACTCTCATTTTGTACGACATAAATATAGTTCCGAATTGAGAGAAAAAGGTATGGTTGATTAGAGCGATGGATTACGATGGATTATGAACAACTCCCGCCCTTGACAGGTTCTGGTTTCATGTAAATCCATGTAAATCACAGACTAGCAGCTGTCGAAATGTCGATTTTTTCCGTACGGATTTTCCAACTTCAAAGCCCTACGTCTAAGTTCACTTACAACACTGAAGAAAATAACGAACATAGTATTGTGGAGCGAAAAGGTGCCTTCATCTGATATGCACTGCTTTCCGGGTTATGTTTGTATTGGTTGAACTTTAAGCTCGACGACAGTGATGACAAATTACAATGTTTCAAAGGCAGTAAAGGAGTGATTGGTTGAAGCCAAAGGCGGAATGACTTCTTCTGATCCCCCTCCTCCTGTAGTGCCTTTGTAGTGTACGTGTTGGTGTATGTGGGTGTATATGCTCGTAAATGCCCGAGGGCCGTGTTTAGTAGCATTCAGCCGCTGATAGGACTCCCGAAACTGTCTTTGCTCTGATTGATGGCGCATACGCATTGTGGAAAGTGTTGGGATGCGTCCATATATGTAGTTTCAGAAGCCTGTTCTTGCCGGGACTGCTGCATACGGTCTTAGAGGGCATTCCTAATTTTCAGTAATAGTTCTTCCACTGAGAGAGCCAGTGCCGCACTACTCATGGGCGGGATTTTCACAATTACCCATCACCATCTGTGGGCAGCCTCAGAATATATTTGCAATATGATCCAAATTTTCATTTGCTGCCTAGAGCCATTTAGAAGGTCTTGCCCAGCGACATGTTTTTTGCAATTTTACAAAAAAAAACTGCGCTTCGATGTACTGTTTCCCGTCCTTTCAAAAAACGAGAAGAGCGTCGGGTGCAGACCATACACCACAAGTGACGACGGCCTCCACAAAATGTAAATGTTTTCTGCCAATGAAATGATTAGCCTGTTGCAGTTGTATTCTATCAGTTGTCACTAATTACCCATTAATTACAGCTCAGTTACCAAAAATCAGCTATGAATCACTACTAACCAGTTTAACTAAGTTAGGAGACCGTCGTCACCTGCTGTGTACATATGGTCTGCACCCTTTCGGAAAAGAGGGTACCTGCCCTTTTGAAATGCTATAGCATTCTGCCCTCAGAAGATTTTTTTGCGCAATCCTACAATTCATATTCAAATACGCGATCACATTTACTTTTAAATGTGAGGATTAATGATGTTCCCTTCAGCAAGTAATAATAAATCGTTGCTGAGAAAGTCAATAAAGCTGAGGTATCTTGTTAGTCCTTGTGAAATCAGTCATTGTGCAGCCACAGCAACCCATCCACCTCAAGCTGTAGACAAACCATGGTGCTTCGGGTGGGAGGATGCACACACAAGATGAGGGGTGACTGGCGAAAATATCAACACAAAATGTCTCCACGCGGTGCCGTTTGTCCTGATATTAGTGAGTGATTTCATTGCTTACCTGAGGAACTCCCTATCGCTGATCGGCATACCCTTGTTGGTGGCGTACATGAAAAGCGGACGCTCTTGTGAGAGTGCGGAAGCGAGCACAAAGTAGGAGACGAACACCAGCAATGGCACAAGTAATCGTCGCAGCATCTCACAAACTGAAACAATGAATGAATTCACTGCATAATAGTACTTGTTACAAAGGTGACCAGACAGAGAAATCGCGAAAGAGGCGGAACCGGGCGGGGCTGAAATACAAACATCTGCACATGCTTCTTTTCACGAGCAAATGGTAGGCGATGTCTTTTTACAGTGCACTCTGAACAGTACATTGGATATCCTTAACTACTGAACTCTGCTGGTAGCGTTGGTGAGGGAGCTATCGAGCGGCTTCTGGCAACTACTTGACCACTTGTGTAGCTCTTTGGGGAAGGCTGCAACCAGTCTGTAAATGTACCGAAGGTCTTTCATCTCGAAGGAAATTTGCAGTAATGCCAGTATCTACGATTTCAGTATATATGTTTGATTGGTCAATCCTCAACACCCTCCCCTACGTTTACTGGAATGAAAAGATTTACCACTCTCAGATCCATCATACAACACTGGCTGACAGATAGATGGCTTACCCTTTCAACATGGTTACTTTCATCAGATGCAGTAAACGGTGAAACTCCAGTTCGGGGGGGCACTCCATTGCTATCTTATCCGTAGTACTAGAGAGCAGTTCTTTGGGCTATCGAACACTACGGATAAGATAATAAGTGAACGACTCATTTCGAGCGTACTTTTGATAAGGACCGGTGGATGTCCTACATTCCACACTACCTGCCCACATCCCATCCACTTTTCTGCACAGGTGATCCACCCTGGAGCTCCTGCACCCTTAGCCCTTTGCGGAGGTGTCCTTTCTCCTGGTCCA